CGTCTTCTCTGCAGCATAGTGGATTGATTTGTTTGCATAGCTCTTAATTGGTGATTTCCGCTGCGACCCCACGAACTTACACCAACGAATTTAGATTTTAAATACTTAATCGAAGTATATGATTTCAGGATGTCCAAGGGACATTTAAAAAGTCATTTATGAATGAAACAACACTACTCCACATTCAGCTAAAAATAACATATATTGGCATGCAAATAGTTTCAAAGATTATCACTTCCCGAAAAAACTTAATTACTTCTATCTTATAAAAAAATTTCCATTATGGAAAAAGATAGGCAGATTTTATGGTAGATCTAAAGCCCACCATGGATCTACATATGACTAAAATAAACATTTTCATACTACATACTTAAATAAGCATCTATTTTTTTAAAAATAAAACAATAAAAAAGGATATTTTATATGAAAAGGTCCAAAAAATGGTATGCACCTAAGGTGCACCATAGAAGAACTCAAAAAGATATGATTTAAGGAATGTATAATTTAGAGTCACTTTTCAATTTTGTGTTACTTTAATAGAAATCATCCTAAATAGAACTAAAATATAGACAAAAGTATCAAAACTGGACTTTCATGTTTTTTTTCTCAAAATAGTACTTTGCACTGTAGTAATGTGTTAATGTACAGTGTACATTACCATACTTTTTTTGTAATGTACATGAATATGTTTAGTAATGTAAGTCCTATTTTTGTATATTTTAAATATTTTAGTCTTACTTTGGTTTTTCTTCTTTACTTTAATGAAGGCTATGACAATGCAATTAGTAAATTACTACGGGTATTAAATAGATAAGATGAGAGAGACACATTTATAATCAGTAGGTGTATAAAGGAGACTTTAATTAAAAGTAAAAGTATTTAAATTCCAATTTCATCTTAGTGCAATGAAACTATAGTTAAATTAAAGTTAATTCCATTAATAATTTACAACTAAACTAACTTTAATGAGATTATGGATTACAAATGATTTTGAGTCCTCTATTTTTAACTCCAATATTGAGATTTATTTTAACACCAAATTCTTATTAATTACAAAATTTTTAAATATTGTTCCATTTTTATTGGTGAATTTACTTAAATAGCACTAAACATAATGTTTTTTTAATGTAGCACTTTTAGTCAGTATCGATTAGTCATTATTCCAGTAACCATCACTGGATATTATTCGTCCTTCTAAATATTATTAAGTGTTATTTAGGGTATAAAAAAATTTAACTACTATTTAGAGAAATGACTTAAGTTTTAGTGTTATTTAGTGCAAATATTTCTTTTTTATTTTCTTAGTTTCAGATTTATAAAACATGCTCTATATAGTACGCCCTGCGTTCAAAAAGAAGATTCTTATTTTGGCTTTTAGGAAAAATAAAGAGTGTATATTTGTAGTTGACTCCAATTTTGTTTTTGATGTGATATATAAAAATGGTTTTTTAATAGAAAATGTTTGTATTTTCAAGAAAACAAAAATAATAAAGAAAAAACATTTTAAGAAACGAAAGGGCCTCGTACAAACAAATTTGGAGTAATCCATATTAAATACGGAGTACATTTACCAAAGTACCTTTACTTTTGTTACCAAAGTGGGCGGCTGACAAAATTAATGCGGTGGATTCCAATTTCCAAGGCTTGATGAAGGCCGTTGATGAAATATTCCAAAGCTTATCAACAGTGGATAACTAGAGGGGAAAACACTTTTTTTTCTTTCTTGAATTCTTTTACTTTTGTATATAGTATAGATACTTGGCCAACATTCACTTAATTTAAAAAGCCAGACTTAAAATGTATAACGATTTTTGGCACCCATATAAAGTTACTTGGCATCATCATTAAATATGAAGATATTTGTGTCTTTGTAGTTTAAAAGTTTCGTACATTGCTTCCTAATGCTAATTTGAGCCGTCTCATTAGCAACACTCTTTGTTCATAACGCTTTCTTTTGTTGGCTTGAACGGACATTGAAATAGCTCCAAATATTTCATCTACATGGTAAAAGGTTAATAATATAGTG